CAGTTTCAGCATCGTAGTCAAACTCGTGCGCGTTATCGATCGTCGCCTTATTTGTTTATAAGAATTTGACAGAATTGTCACGAAAATCACCGAGTGCCGCCGAAGGCGTCCGTAGTATGCTAATTCACGGTAATCCTCACTGCGCTAAGAGGAAACTGCCCCCTTGATCCGTTCGGCAAATAAACTCCCTGATCTATGAACAAACAGCGGCGACCATCCTGGTACCTTTGATCTAAGCTTGGCTGTGACTCCATTCTCTTTTTACCTCCATGGTATGTGCGTATAAAAACGTCTGTGCAATGGAAGGTTGTTACCAGGGGCATTGCAACGTTGTTGTGACTATACAAAAAAAGTTGTAAATTACCCATAGGATGTGGGAATCGAAATTACAGGATAAAGGAGGCGATCGATTAAGTCAAGGAAAGAGACTTTATTATACGATATAGACTACACGAATACTATACAGCTACTGCCGATTAAAGCGTGTGTTGAAAGTATACATACAGTGTGGCCGGAAGTTTGGGCTTACGTAACTTGTCACTGAGTAGCCAATCTACTAATTCAATAATAATTAACTTAAGTACATAACGTATCTCTTTGTGGTTTCCGCAGTTCGATTGCGGTTCCGACATAGGAATCTTATTTGCACCCGCTTCAACCGTTCGGGAAAGTTAATAGGGATATTGCAGCATTGGAAGGGAAGTTGCAAGTTACCCACACAAATCTTGTTTACGCCCGCTGCAATTGACAACACCCAATGAAAACTGACTGATATATACAGTGTTCTTCATATCTCATAGGACGTTACTGTACGCACGTTGGATTGACAGAGACTACTGTGATTCAATGAGGGATAGTTTTCCGTCAGGTTTTATGATGGACATATATCTTTGGCGAGAAAAGGGTCAAGTGGAAAAGGCACTACAATACCAAGGGACGAGTAAACACACAAAGGATGAAATATACGATATTGCGCTGACGGATATCAAGGCTCTTTCTGAGTTCCTAGGTGAGTTCAATCAAGTAAATTACTTCACTATAAATATAACGAATAAGTAAACATAGAGAGTCAAACTGGTTTAAATTTATTTTACAGGACCTAAACAATATTTTTTCGGTGATGAGGTGAGTGAGTTTGATGCTGCTCTCTTTGGTTTCGTGGCTACATTTGCATATGAGTTACCCGGTTCACCACAAGAAAGATTCATCAAAGGTATGTATTATGTTATTGTTTCAATGGAACACTGAAAAAGAAAGTTGAAAAAAATGTAATTTAAAAACGAGATCAGACACTTATCTTGCATACACCTTCTTGTAAAAGAATTGGAAATCCCTGTTAGCAATCTAAACTGTGACATAGTCCTTACCTTGTTAGCGACCTAGACTGAGACATAGTCCTTACCTTGTTAGCGATCTAGACTGAGGCATAGTTCCTGTTAGCGATCTAGACTGAGGCATAGTCCCTGTTAGCGACCTAGACTGAGACATAGTCCCTGTTAGCGATCTAGACTGAGGCATAGTCCCTGTTAGCGATCTAGACTGAGGCATAGTCT